CTCAATAACTTTCCTTGATCCTAACTGTTCAACTTCATGAGAAAAGGTGAGACCAAGGGCATCTTGGTCAACTGCCACAGGATCCATCTCCAATATTTGCTTGCAGCTACTATACAGGCAAGGATCTGCGTCCCGAATATCTTCTAAAGAAATATCATGCCCAGCCAATTGCAGAAAGAACACACGATCAAAGGCAATGCCAACTTGTATTTTATGCATCAAGGCTAAGGCAATCACCCTGCCAGAGAAGTTAAAATATTCAAGTTGCAAAGGATCCACCTTCGATGCTGCAAACAGACAAAATCAACGAACAAAGAATCATTTGTCTTGTTATTAGTGTACCAAACAAAATTGCGTGCCTTGTTATAATTTTAAGTTCCTCCAACAATGACAAAGACTGAAGGAGAACTATCATCAACATCATATTAGAAGGAACATCAGACATTTTACACTCGGTGAATAAAACTGTGTTCAGTCAACTACAGTAAATGGTCAGAAGTAAGAAAGAAGTTGTGAGGTAGGTTCACTCTAGATTCAAAAATTCCCATAAATATACTTTTGCAGCGCTACTCTTTCTCTATATTATTTTGTCAAATGAAGTATGACCATTGTTGATAATTCCCACCAAACACGAAAAGATAAGCCCTCAACTGTAATAACAGCAGGAAAGTGTGATGCATCTGCTTGATGCATCGCACACCACTTCACAACACCCATCAGAAGTTACTTCCAACTTCCAGCATATGAAAAAAGATAAGACAAAAGGCACTAGGCAAGAAAATTGATCTTCATCTTTTTTAGAGCTTTTATAAGAAAGGAGGTGTCATTACAAATGAAAAAAAAAATCCACGTGACATTTTAAATAGCATCTACAGGGAAACAAGGGGAAAAGAAATTAAAAAAGTGAGCTTGTATGGTACTGCTTTTAAGTAATTATAAGTAGCAAGTCCTAGTAGTAAGTTGTGGGTCCTACAAATGTGTGGATAAAAAATATATTTGACCAGAGTAGATCAAAATTCAAGCAATGCCAAACAGCACTAAATGTAACACTCATATAGGAATTCTTTCATCACAAGCAAATTAAAAACGAGCAATGTGCATTTACATGCAAATATACAAATTACAGGAAAGTATGCATGCTTAGTTGCCTCCAAACCTTATTCTCTAAGGCCACAGATAGAAAAAGGGTTCCAGGGAAATGTGCAATTTTTTTTTCTTTTTCTCAGAAGTTTTTTTTTGTCCTTCAATTTTTTGTTTTCTTTTTACTTTTTTGGTGGGGCAGCAGTGGCAATAAAATTGCAGGTGAAAACAGCAGTGCCATAAAAACAGGCATGGGACAGTGCAACCTAAAGATCAAATTAAATTTTTTTAATGCACTATAATTTACACACAAAAAAAAAAAAAAAAAAAAAAAAAAAAAACACACACAAAAATAATAATAATAATAATAATAATTTACTAGTGACACAGAATCAATATGGCAAGTATTGGCAACCATTTTCCCTGGACATTGCGTTTTTTTATCACACATGACCCCTGGGAGATATAGAGACCTCAACAGGGAGATATAAATTGATTTTGTACAGGCATAATATGACAATGATATTACACAGTAATACTTAATACATACTGCCTTCAATGCACTGACACCTATGCTAAGAGCCTTAAAAAAAATTAGCCAGAAGTGACCAGCAACTGGGCTGGTGGCAACATCTTTACAGTGGGATTGAACAAAGATCTACAACCCATTTGTAGATACCTCCACCTATTAAATCTACCATTACTGCTACACCAACCCATGTCCCCAGAAAAAGAATGCAAAACGAAAAAAAAAAAAAAAGAGAGAGAGAGAGAGAGAGAGAGAGAGAGGGAGAGAGAGAGAAAGGGAATAAACAAGAATTATAAGGGAAAGGGAAAAATAATCAAGTTCAAATATTATGTTTAATAATTTTTGTTCACCCTCCTCCCTCTAACTTATTCACTCTATGGTACTAAGAAAACCACCTCTCCTGATGTGTAATCAATATTGTCGAGAACCTTCTGTTGCATGATTGAAGGTTGGTAACCATCAATTCTTATTTATGTCATGGATATAAAATCTCACTCGCCTGTATGCTGGCTAATTATATAAGGAGAGTAGTCTTTTCATGTTCACAAGTTCTTTGTTCTTTTCCATGCACAGTTACTATTCGTTGGTGCTTCAAGTGCTATATTCAATATCCAAAAAATGATTTGAAAATTTAACTGAAATTACTTGTCCAATTTTTAAATTGGACAACCGTCATGACAGGGTGTGTTCATAAAAATGAAATCTTTATGTACCATTGCTATACTTAGCATGAGACTAAGCAAATGAAGTATAGCACTGTTTTATTACTTTTCCGCAGAATGAGTACAAAGTGCATGAGGTGAACATCAAAATTATAAACCTGTAATAGAGGGGTAAATTAGAGTTGCTACCTTAAATCATTACTCCTATGAGTCTATGAAAAACTGAAGTTATATATGCTTCAAGCTACTTGTCATCCTCTCATGTATAGTATTTGGGATGTGATAGGCATCTACGATATACTTGCAAAATAACAGAAGCTAACAAAAAGCTCAATTTGCTGCAACCAAGAGTATAGTATGAATTTTCACACGAGGGTGCTTTAGCAAATAATTTTTTGCAGAATGTGTGCACGAAAGAGGAGGAAACCTTACCTGGATTTGGAAAAAACCTTCTACGATCATTAGGGCAAGCCAAGAAGAGTGCATTTTGAGGGTTGAAGATTGCTTGGCATACCAATAAGAACCACTCCCTCAAGACACCAGGGCCATTTGCCTCCTCGTTCTTGAACTCCATAAATAAGCCAGCACGCAGTGAGTCCAGTTCTGCATGTGCAATGTACTCGAATGATTCTGCCAACAAATGTGAGCGGTCAATGAGCATCTTGTGCTGCTCATCATACTCATCCTTCACTTCAGGGAGTATCATCATGGCTAGATGCTTCCTCGCCTCAAAATTAGTCACTTCCTTGTGCTCAAGAATCCACTGGTGCTCATCGCTCCTCTTTGCAAATCTAACAATAAGATAACACAAGGCATCCTTCTTCTGTTTCATTTTCTCCCAAAAAACCTCTTCTGCACCATCATAAAGTTTAGATATACTATTCAGTTCCTTCAGGATTGCAAGATACTGGCACCATCCAAAGAAAAGGGTCTGACCATCTGATCTCGCTCTCATATCTACCTGCTCCTCAATTTTCCCCAAACAATCCTCCAATTTCCCCAATAAATCAATAAAAATCTCGTGCAGAAATATGATTTCCTTCCCATAACACACCCAACTTTGCTCGCTCAAAGGAAACTTAACAGGACCGCAAAAAGTGGTTTCTAGCATGATCTTGTTTCTCACTGGGACAACAAAGGCTGTGAAATCTCGGACATCACTCAACAGGGGCCCTACAAACGAGCTTGACTCCATACTCAGCACTAAATCTTGCGATAACTTGGCTGCTAATTGACTAACAAATGGAAAAATATCATGAACCCCAATCGACTCCTTCTTCACCCCGACCTCAAGAAACTCCACCATCGCCCCCATAGTACTTCGACACACATTATACAAGGGATCATCAGTCCCAGCTGCCCTACTCAACAACTTACAAAATTCTAAAACAATCGGTGCACACTGACAATACATATGCTTAGGCAAAACATTCTTACTCGATTCAATGAACTGTTTGATGGCTTCATTAGCAGCATCCCTGTTCGGTTTGTGAGATGACATGTAAAGCATCACCAGGGCCGCAGGGGCAGAGGAAGAGAGGAAAACCTACAAATGCCCAGAAGCCTTGTGAGAGTTGGCGCGCGGGGTCCTAGACAGAAAATCAGCAAGCAGTGATTTGACAGTTTTTGGAGGAGGCAGATCGGGCAGCGGAGGAGGCGGGGTGTCTTTGTAAAGCTGGAAAATTAAGAAAATAATGTCGTTGACGAGCTGCCAGGCTTGGGGATGCTCGGTGCTCCGCATTCGTCCAACCAGCTGCAATCCTGCGTCGTTTTGGATTTTGCATTCTGCCAGAGTTTGTTCCCACTGCAATTGCTTACCACGGTATATCAATCGCTGCTCGAATACAGGAATTCCAGTAATAGACTCTATTTGTTGATGAATATCCTTAATCGTAGTGGAGCAATCGGTTTTGAGAACAAGGGTATGGTCAGATAAAATACGGACAAAAAATTGAATGCTATTGAGAGAGCAAGTTGACTCCGTGAGTGATGATCGCGGGGGCAGGGACAAAGGAGGTGGAGAAGGTGGGAGGGCAGTTTGGTCTTTTCGCATCCTAGCGGCGGCAGGCAGCGTATTCATGTCGATGATGAAGGAATCGTCGGCATAGTAATCATCGAGCTTCCTTTTGGAAAGAGATGACGACATCTGGCGAGTGAAACGGAGGTTTTACGATGGGCCTGAGCCCATAGAATCAAAACCCCCCAAAAACCCTTTCTTTTACTGTGTGGCGTTTTCAGAGCAAGAGAATTAGGGAAGAAGACTCAAAAACTCTGAGTACGCAACAAATATAGGCGGAATTACGAAAGAATATGTATATATACCGGCGGATGCTTTTAATCGGCTTTTTGGCTTTTTCTTTTTTAATTAAAGATTTATTCAAATCCCAATACAGATTATGATATGCGGTCCTCATATTAGGAATTTTTTTATTTTTCCTGTGTACAGAATAAAGACAATAAAAAAAGCATAATTTTTAAATTTGGTTAGAAGAAAAGTCAAATTCTCTTTAAAAGTTAAATCGATCACTCAAATCAATCCCATCCACTTGATTTTGCAAATGAAAATAGGAATTTCAAGTTTTTTATTCTCTATTATAAACTCTTCTTGCAAATAATTCGATTTAATGCATACCAGTACTATTAATTATGTCGAGTATTGCATTAGTGAAATTAAGCTTCACTTCGATTGATTAAAAAAAAAAAAAAATTGAGACAGTCGAGGCCAAATCTATTTGACAACGGTCCAAGCTGAGTCACAATTATTTCTTTTAACTACAGTTTCTACATCCTTGTGAATTGTGAGAGGTCGATACAAAAAATGTGAAGGATAAATAAGTTGAAGAGAAAATAAGGAAAAACAACCAAAATAATTTATACTAATAATCAGCATGTGATATTTTTTGTTCTTCAAAACTCAATTCTGATATAGAATTGCTCAGCGAACTTGGACAGACATGGCAGAATTAATAAATTACGCAGGAACTATACTGCCAGCAGCAACAGCCCTAAAAGTCTTTCGCAAGAAAATACGCTTGAGGGTCCCAAGACGATGTTCTTAAACTGGTCAACCTACAACTTCACCATCTGTTGGAAACCTGAAATTTCAGAGACAAAGGGGAGGATCAAACCATTGACAACCACAGCCTTCGACTTCATATACTCGCAAGTCGTAACACTGAATTTCTTGGGAGCAAAAACAATAAAAAAATGTTTTAGCCTAAAAATGAAATTATAATTACAACTTGAAGAAATAAAACTAACATTTTCAAAGAACCACTCGCATCTATTAAGCATCTAAACAGTCACGGATAATTTAATTTTATCAGCTCCAGATGCAGTATGCTACAGGCTGCTTGGGTTTAGTTAAGAAAGATACTGAAATCTTTGATTTTTATCAGGAGTTCCCCCCGCTGAAGATCCCAAACAGAAGCAAGATAAAAAGTCTTGCTCCCACCCCCAGCATGTTCTGAGATTTATTTCTTCATGTACCACCTATCGAGTTAGTCAAGATGGCTTCTGCTTGATGTTTACAGGAAAGTGAGAAGTTCGGCTACAAATGTTCAAGATGGCTGTCCACCGTTGTGTGCTCAGGTACATTTTCCAAGAGCACAAGGGAACAAGTTGATCTTGTGGAAATAAACATTCTACTTAATCACCACATCTGAAAGCTTAATGCATTAGAGGATAGAGGAGTTCAAATTTATTTTTTCATCAAAGACACAAGATGTGGTTTTTGGGAGAATTGTAGCAGACATCCCTAACCTAACCACCCTCTTGCAATTCTGTCCCCAACCAGTATTTCTTGACAAAATTATCTCCACCCTTCATTTTTTGACGCCCATAGTCCTACTGATAATTTCTGTCAAAAAAAAATTCTATTGCTGGCTTAGTAAAAAATGTTACCCTTAAGCTTACACAAACTAAAAAAGAAAGAAAGGAAATCAAAGAAAGAAAATTTAAGTATTTTTCTTCTTCATCAAACCCACCCCCACCCCAGAGGAAAACGACCACGGCCACAACAATGCCGCAACCAACCACCGCCACAGCAACACACACCACACCAAAACCACCAACCCCCACGCCTCACAAAATCCATATATTTGTCATCCAAGATGTTTGATTGGAATTTTTATTTTCGGGAAATGAATGTAATGCGGATTTCAACATTCGATTTGTTTCACTTTCTCTTTTTCATAAATAAATGTCTCTATGGCTAGTCAAGTAATTAGATAAGCTGAAATGTGCTTGCAATTTCTTTTCCACACTCTCTAGCCTAAATCCACCATGAAGCTTTAAGTGTAGTTTCTAAACTTTTTTTCCAAATTTTTCTCTGCTCCCAATTGTAAACTGTTAAAGAGTCAAAAATTAATAGAAGAGTGAAGATAGGATCGTATGGATCAACTGAAAATCATTTAAATCTGATGAACCGCAAATACACTGAACAACAAGCAACCCAAGATTGACTATAAGTTTACTTTTGAAGTCCTTAGCAGAACAAAAGAAGCATAACGAAACCCAACAAAGGTTAAAATGCCATAGAATTTTTCTCTGCTCCCAATTGTAAACTGTTAAAGAGTCAAAAATTAATAGAAGAGTGAAGATAGGATCATATGGATCAACTGAAAATCATTTAAATCTGATGAACCGCAAATACACTGAACAACAAGCAACCCAAGATTGACTATAAGTTTACTTTTGAAGTCCTTAGCAGAACAAAAGAAGCATAACGAAACCCAACAAAGGTTAAAATGCCATAGAAGAAAACAACCATTCGTTCATGCCACATTAGAACTTTTACTAAACTGAATGCTGAGAATAATGAGACAAGTCATTTCATCTCCAGAAACTTCAACCAAAATAACCTTGTAAAGACAAAGACTACTCACCCAGTCAAGTCAATTCTGCATCAAATTCATATGATATATTTCATCATTATTGCTCTCAAGAGCAATTATTCACTAATTCATTTGGCCAAAACGGGATCTTAGCAGCTTAAATCAACAGAAGTAAGGTCCAGAGATATGTGGACTGTTGCTCGTGGTAAAGAAGAAGAATATACAAATTTCCTCACACAATATTACCCAATGGGTGAACATTTGCTTTAAAATGGATCTTGCTACATATACATCAAGTTTTGCATAATGGATTATATAATGCCACATATGAATCTATCATTTGCCGGTTTAAAACACAATCAATTTTTTCATTCAATATTTTCCCTCCATTCATTTTATGTACTTCCTTATGTACCGCTACATTTTTTATGTACAATTAGCATAATTTTAGAACAAGTACCCACAAATAGTTAAGGTATCAATTAGCATCAAGTTGATAAACAGAAAGTAATGCTCATGATGACGTGGTGTAAATGCCTTTATTTATTTATAGGCCAATGTGCACCCGTATAAAGAGCATAAATAAAGTAGAATACGCGGAATTTATTAGTGCAACCAAAAAACTATTGAGAAAGGCAGTATTTTATTAGAAACAGCTGAGTGACTAACCAACGTCTTTTTCTCATCCAATCTCACGAACTTAACCCCTCTGAAAGGAAATCCTTTCTGAGAACACAAGAAGAAATGTTAGGTAGAATTACATTTCACATGCAATAAAAACTGTATAGATGCGGAGGGAAGATCTTTTATTTGTCAATTTTCATTAATCAATGTATTTAAATTTTCACCGACTTAAAGAAACCAAAGACACTGAAAACAAATAAAGCTGCACATAACTGACTTCAAGTCAACAGCAGACAAGATAGAGGATGACATTTGATTTTTTGAAGATTGTGCGCTTAAAAAAGAAGGAAACTTTTGAATTTAAGTAACATTGTTTTATTGGGAGAATGTGTGGTCGAAAAGAAAAGAATGAGAAATGCATTTTGATTAAGGCCCCATTTGGTAGGGATTTTGAGAATTGATTTTTTGACCGTTAGAAGAAAAGTGGGGTCCACATGTGATAGAAGAAAAAAATTACGGCTTTAATAGTAAAATAACGGTCAAAAAATCAATTTTTTGGGGCAAAAAACCCTACCAAAGGGGGCCTAAAATGAAGTCCAGGGGCATAAATGGACTAGATAATGACATAATATACACAATACTGTGATCTTCTTGACTAGAAGAATTTACCTTCCTCTTGATCTTCTTTTCCTTCCTTTTCTCTTGTCGTGACCCCATCACCTTCCCCAGGACAGTCAGGGCGAACAAGGCTTTCAACACAAGTTTCAGGAACAAAATTATAGGGCAAATCACTAATGGTGAGAAACCAGACGGTTTTTCTAATCAAGTCATACCAAGCAAGCTTTTTCCCACCACAGTTTAAAAGAACCTTTTCACCATTCTTTGAATAAACCAATGGCTTCAAACAAACCGATGATTTATAAAAAGGGAAAATACCTGGAGGACCAACTGATAGCAATTGAGTCCAAGATTCCTCCACTCCATATTCCTTCATCACCCATATATTATTAACATCATAATTATCAGCGCAAACTAAACAAAGACACCCTCTTAGCAACTCCAACTTCATCTCGACGTTCTCAGTCTCAATATTTGGTGGCAACATCATCGCATAATGGTTCTCATTTTCAACACTAAAAGCCATAATTATAAATGATTTGACAGAATATACATGTGAAGAATCCTCCATAAGGGTATGCAATGCCCCGTGGACGTGTACGTCCCATTTGTCGCAGTTTCCTTTCATATTGGACAGGACAGGGACCATATTCCAGGAATTCAATTTAAGACTGTAAATCTCAGTTGCAGAGCATACCCAGGCACGACTTGTTTCACTGCAGAATTCAACAGCACGAACAACTTTATAATCATTATTTCTCGAATCATAACCAAGCCCATAGAAAACCTTGGAAAGACACAATAAAGGAGCTGGATATTCGATCGCGGCATCAGGTAAAATCTTGTATTTTCTTAAGAAAGGGTTCCACAATACAGGGGGAACAAGGGGATCGCTCATTACAAGAATTAACCCATTGCAAGAATTGGATATGCAGTCAAAACCCTTGGAAGAAACTGGTGGTTCAATGAGCTGGGCTTTGTCGATTGAATCCAAATCTACAGAATAAAGTCCCTTCCGGCTTCCGAGAATTAGGCTGTGATAGGAGTTCGTCGTCATGGATTGATGCAAGTGCAATTGGACGAAACTTTGGCCGTCTATTATAGAACACCATGTTCTCTCGACACATCTGAATCGTAATAGGGTTTTCACTGGTAAGCGTGATAGGATTTCTGAGATCATATCTGGGGGAAGCATATTTCTTCGTTTTAGGTTTCGAATCGATTGTTGATCTGTAAATAAGTAAATAGAATGAATCGCTAATGGAAGAGGAGTGATATTTATAGAATTCTGAGGTATTGAAAAACTAATAAATAGATAAAATAATAATAATAATAACAACGAGTATTATGAAAGTGATGAAAAAGGGGAAGTCAAAATTAAAGAGTGTTTTATTGATAATTAAAGTCTTGTATTGATAAGGTTCAAAATAGAGTAATGTTATTCGTAGTGAAAATTATCGGTAGTCATCCTATGTGACATACATTTGACAATTTGATATTTGATAAATAGATATGGTAATTATTTTTTAAATTATATATCAAATAAAAAACTGTCAAGTGTATACCACATAGGACGATCGTCGATAGCCTTCACTGCGAATAGCATTATTCTTCAAAATAAGAGCTACAGTTATAACAGAATAGATTCTTTTAAAATAGATATAATTTATCTACAATATTTTGATATAAGACTAGATAGATGTCAATACTTATATCATAGTTCTACAACACAAAAATTGAGCATAACTTAGCCTCCGTTTGAACTATATTATTGTAAAAATGAGAATGAAAAATATAGTCGTTATTGGTTCCACGCAAAAGATAAAAAGTCAAATATGACGGCTTAATGTGATGGATAACGGTCATTGATGGCTTAATTGTGTTATATATACATCACTTCTTATAGATTTATTTATTAACAAATGATTTGACGACTTAATTTGGTCAAAATTTTAACAACAAAATTAAAATCACACTATCTTTTTGAAATCTCATTAATATATAAACATTATGTAAAGGATGGTGTACAAAAAAATATTTTCCTTCTAAAATAATATGTTATGGTGCGTTTGATTGCAAATAGGAAAATTGCATGGAAAGAAAATATTTTCTTGGTAATTCAATTGTCTAGAAATTATTTACATGGTAAATGTTAATTACACGTGTTTGATTGACTTAAATTTCAACCTAGAAAATGTTACAATGTTTCAACTTTAAATGTTTGATAGCCATTATTTTCCATGGAAATAATGATTTTTTTCCAAATTTATCTGTTTGACAACCACTATTTTCCATGGAAAATAGTGATTTTTTTCCATGAAAATCTATCAATGAATGATTCAAATCTTAAACAAATTATAGACATAAATTCGGCCAAATCCTAATCAATCCTAATTAATATAGCAGTTAATTTGTGGATAAAAACATGCCAAGATTCGGTATGAAAGATGCATAAACACTGTCGGATGAAATAATTATCCCTACCAATTCAGATTTCTACCACTTAAATATTCTTCTTTGCAATAAAAAATAATAATCAGATAATCAATTCAATAAATAATGATGAATTTCGTCCAATGTATTACATAAAACGAAAATGAAAAAACCCTAAAAATCTCTATCATAAGAAAATAGCAAATAAAATCAACATAGATGTTATACTTTCACATACGTTTGTTGATTTATCCGAGCAAGTCATCTTAAAATAGTGGAGGCGGATCACAGCCCAGATTCTCAAATACTAAATCACGCATGAATTCTTCATCAGTCAAACTCAGAAATACTCTAGCCAGACTCTCAACCGACCGAAATATTTTCATTACTTGCATTATGTCACGCTTTTCTATACTCATGCCCTGTAATTTTTCTAGAATCAACTGCCAATTGATGTGGTTTAGCGTATCTAATGTTGCTTGAGTCTCTATATAGGGATGTAAACGAGTCGAGCCGAGAATTTTTGGCTCGGACTCGGCTCGAGTAAATCGTAGTGGGCTTTTTTTGGGCCCGAACCGAGCCGAGCCAAAGCTCGCCCAAAAAAATAGGGCTCGGCCCGAGCTTTGGCTTGGGGTTTTTACTACCCGAGCCGGGCCAGCTCGATTTTTAAAAAAAAAAATTTTGCAATTTTTAATGATATTTTTTTCACATGCTAATTATTGTAGTGCAATTTGTTTAGTGTAGAAAGCAAAAAAATTGTTTAATGACATTTTTTTCACATTTTTTTTAAAAAATTTAAAAATTGCATCATTTATTATTTATACAAATTACAAATTAAATAAAATTACAACTTTCAAAATTATGTAATTTATACGAATAAAAAAATAAATAAAAGTTACAAATTACAACCCTCTTCCTTTTTCCGGGTTTGGGATCGGTTACAATCAACGTAGGCGAAATTAAAATTGTAAACGAATAAAATATTTCGTGTACAATTTTTCTTGAATCAAATAAATTTAAAAAATACATTTCTTAAAGAAAAATAATTAATTTAAAAACTTACAACATCCTATATTTGGATATGCTACAACTCTTATACCATTATACTATCAACATGTTCTTAAACACGTAATTCCGCATTCCCAATCCTTCAAGCATATCAAAGCCTCCAATATATCTTCTTTTAGTCTTGATCGTTCATCTGATAAAATTCGACCACCTAGACTGAATGCAGCCTCCGATGCTACCGTAGACACCGGAGGTGTTAGTAGATCACGTGCAATTTTTGATACAATTGGATATTGCCTTTCGTTACATCTCCACCAATTTCAAAGACTAAATTCTTGTAATTCGTTCGGTTGCAACACACTACGAACATCCACGCACATATACCTAGCTAACTCAGAAGGAATTTCAAGATTTGTACCACCAATATTGATCACTCTAGATGTCGATGAACTAGAACTAGAACTAAATGAAGGAACACTTGTATTGCTATCAAAATAATTCCATAAATTTTTGAAATTTGTTGAAATATTTCTTGAAAAATAACTTTGAGAAGTAGAACTACCCTGATCTTCGTTTTCAGCATAATAATTATACATTTCACATAAAGAAGATTCTATATACACATGTGATAATTCTATAATCAAAAAATCTGATATCCCCTTTACAGTAGCTTTTGTGCCAGTTAAATTAAGTCGACTGTCCATTACTAAAGCTAAAAGAAATAAAGAAGGTAACTCTTCCCAATATTTACAAAATTGTAACTCCATAGAGCGGATTACATCAGAAAAAGTGGCAAATTCCTATATTTATGAAATGCTTGTAAAATATAGAAAAAATGTTGTAAATCAATAGAAAATGTAGGGTAATAAACACCGCTACATTCCTTTGTAGCATCGAAAAAAGGTTGTAAAAATTTTTTCACGTAAAATGCAATAATCCACTCCCAATCTTCCAAATTATGTTCGGGTCCGAGTATATGTCTACCATTATAATATAGTGAAATCACTTTATCGTAATTTTCACACGAATGTAACATAAAATATGTAGAGTTCCACCTATGCGTTACATCAATGACAAATAATTTCTCCTGTAATCCATACTCTGCACACAAACTATTAAATGCTTGTTTTCTTGCTGGTAACACAGTAATAAAACTTATTGCTTGTCTAATTTTATCTAGAGGTGAACTTATATGTTCTAATCCAACTTTTGCAATCAAATTAATAATATGACATACACAACGTTGATGAAAAAATAAATTTTCAAATACAGGGTTAAGATTAGCAATAAATCTTTTAATAACAACTTTGTTCATTGCAGCATTATCAAAAGTAAAACTTCGAATCATATCTTGTATACCATATTCCTGTATGATATCTTTTAAAACCATGTATATGTTAGTGGCATTATGGGGATATTCTACACATCTGAATGCAATAATTCATTTATGTAGAAACCACAAGTGATCAATATAATGAGTCGTAGCAGCAATATAACATTTTCTATTACAATCGGTCCATAAATTAGAAGTAAACGATATAACACTATTAAAACTTTTTAGACCTTCAATAGTAATTTGTTTTCTTCTGTTATATAATTTTATGCTATCCGAACGAAGAGTTTTTCTAAAATAAGAAGAATACCTGGGTTGGAAATATTTTTGTACGAGTCGGGTAAAGTGTATTGAGTCTATCATCGTAAGCGGCATCGTAAGCGGCATCTCTGCTGCAGCCACGTATGCAGCCATTCCTTCACGAAATCTTTCCTGTGAATATACAAAGGTGGAAAGAGTAGAATTAGAACTGCTAAACACTAGTTCAGTCTGTTCCGAGTCGAGATCGGCTGGTTTCGCTTTGCAACTCCTTAATACGTGTCTATTCAAATGCGTTTGCTCGAACCAGGCTTCTAATTAAGTTATTTACCACAGTAATTGCAACATGCTTTCCAAATATCTACTCCATTTTGAACACCGATTTTTTTACGTGTCATATGTTGCCAACTTTTTTGACCTTTTTGTCTCGAGTACTTGAACTTCTTCCTCTTTAATATCCTCCAAATTAATTGGAACATTTTCACATGCATCGTAGTTAGATGAGTACTGGAGCTACCGCCAAACTGATTAACTTCATCACTTGTAAAATTCATAATAACTAGTATAATAAAAAATACTGAATATTAGATGTAGAGTGAAATAAATTGAATATATTAATTGTTATATGAGAAGTGAGAAAGAAGAAATTGAAACTTGAATTGAATGATTGAATCTGAATCTATAATATAGAAATAATGCGAATTAAAATCGATAACAAAGTTATTTAAAATTTCAAAAATCATCCCGTATTTATAGACAAAAAAAAATCGCGTTATTTTTCAAATTTGAATTTCAAAATCTACACGATTAAAGATAACCCTACGTAAAAAATGTAGCTATAGCTGCCTTAAGGCAACTGTAACCTGCTGCAGGTCAATATTTTTTTAAATTTTTTTCTCTTTAATTTGCTCAGGCCGAGCATTATTGTCACGGGCCAAAAATGGGCCATGACACGAGCCGGCGCCGAGCCACACGGGCTCGAGCCGACTTATTATTTTGAGGCTCGGCCCGAGCCTAGGCTTGGTCGCTACGAGCCACGAGCCGGGCGGGCTCAGACTTTTCCCGAGCCGAGCCGCCGAGCCTTTTTGACACCCCTATCTCCATAGTATTAGTAATTTTTTTAGATGATTCGACAATGCTTGATAGGGTAAAGAGACTCTCATCATTAGGTTGGGTACGTCAACAACGAACTTTGTTAGTTCCTCCTTCGACGTTACGCTTAAGAGTGCGAATGAGTTTTGGATCCGTATCCTCATTTTGACCATCAACTTCATGCACTTTTTCATCTAAAAAATAATAAAATAAGAATTTGTTAGAATCTCTAATATAATACGAATTATATAAATTTTTATGTACGATCTAGTACGTACCATGATCGGGGGATAAAATGTCATTGCCTGTTACAGCACGATCTCCTGTAGCAGAATCATTTTCAAAGATTGCCTCCAAATCATCATAACGAGAACAAAGTTTAGTCCTCCACTTTCCAAATTCTAATTTGCCCTACAAGAAAAGAGTGAAATATGTTTTACGCTAGTCAGTGGTAAAAATAAATTAAATTACTAATATTTAAGGAATAATATTTTCGTTGGTCAATGAAATTGTGTACCTTCAACAACTCTTCCCAAGCTAGTACATCGACTGTGACACGTTCAGTGTGAGGATCTAACCCAAAACCACTCATACTTAACAACTGACGAACGTCAATATATTCTTTTTTCAGAGTTTTCAATCGCGCCCTCACATTCTTATCAGACACCACGACTCCGCGTCCACTGTGCACGCTCTCGATTGCTTTGGACACGTGATATGATGAAAAGCTATTGTCGCTTCTTTTGTGACTAGCCAACACTTGATGTAGTAGTGCAGTTATCATAAAACCGTCCATTGCATCACTTCAACGTATTTGACGATTCCTAGAATTAGGATCCGCTTGGGTTGAGCTTATTTCCTCCACATCTGAATGGAGGGTTAATCTAAGAACTCGAAAAGGTGCCGCAGAGCTTTATCGAATATTTATCATGAATTCTATAGTACAAGATTAATTGTTTATGGTCAACCAATAAATAAGAACATTTAAAAAAATTGCATGTCAACAATTTGTCTCCAGTAACAGCAATTCCAATTACAATATTTAAAATTCTAGCAATCTTATGTCAACTATTATAGAACATGGAAAAAAAACAAAAAATCTGCTTAATGTCAATACATCTTCAATTCAAGCAATTACTGCATATGAAAGTCTACTAAGTTTATATCCATTACATAAAAACATAATAAAAAAAAAGAAAAGAAAAAAAATTAGATTTCAATCAAAATCAATTCCCGCATTCTGATTGGGAAGATAATCAGCCCACATTAAATCAGCAATCGCATTCCTCTTATTAGACCATACTTCCTGATTTGTGAAAGATATGTGAGCATTTGGAGTTTCATCTTCAGGTATATCAACATGCGTAGGGTTAACCTCATCATCACTATTATCTACGTCGTCATCCTCACAAACATCTTCAACGTCGTCAATCCTTAAGAAGTTGTGGATGGCAGAACAGACAAGGACTATCTTTGCTTGTGTGTCAATGTCGTGATAGGATTGATGTCTCAAATATGCAAATCTTTTTTTCAGCAAACCAATTGTACTCTCAATAACATTACGTAGAGATGAATGTCAAAAATTGAACAACTCCTTACTACTTTCAGGACGTTGACCTTCAATGTCTCTACGATAATAATGAGTCCTACGATATGGTGCAAGAAAACTCGAAACCGATGGGAAGACAACGTCAACAAGATAATATTTACCTAGGAAAGAGTCGTTCATAAGATGGTAATTAGGTAATTATTATAACTTATGTGTGGAAGAAATGTTTTCAAAATAGTGACACAACTTACCAACATGAATTGTTAGCTTATGTCCTTGGCATAATATTGCACTCAGTAACAATCGAACATCATGTACGGATCCCTCCCAACCGGCAAGCACGTACGTAAATTTCATATCAAATGTGCAAGCTACTAAAACATTTTGGGAAAACACTTGCTTTCTATTGTGATATTTACCTTGCTCCTCTAAAGATACATACGAAGCAATATGTGTACCATCGATTGCTCCTACGACATCCTTTAAAAAAGAATACTTTTCAAATAAATGTGTACATTGAAGTTTTAAGAAATATGATGAAATAGCAACAAACTCCTAACCTGAAAAAAGGAGTACCATGGCTGCACATTTTCTTTTTCATATGGTGAGTTATGAGGAGTGGCATTAATCACAACATCTCTATACAGTCCAAGACAAGTGTGTAAGACTCTGTAAGAGTAAAAGCTCACTGTTTGACCAAGCCGAAAGAAAGTAAAACGTCCAGCGCGATTACGTTGGTGATGCCTGACTGTATTAAAAAAACTGAGACTTGTTCCTCAATTCGAACGTATTTACTATCAACCAATCCATATGTTTGCAAACGAGCATATAATCTTTGAAATGGACCTATTTTCATCCTAAGGAGATCACGACATATTGTTTCACTCATGCCAAACATTCATGTAAGTGTTATTTCTCTTTCAGAATTCCAATTTATTTGAGGAGCTCTTGGAAGATGTCGTGCTCGACGCTTAAGTTCATTATATATCACAATCGCTTGCATAACCATCGTCCAAAATAAACCTAAATATTGTCGTTGGCATCGACGTTGATTCGTTATTGTAGCCATGTTATAAACTACCACGGTAAATAAAAATTCAATAAAAATTTGTTTTGAAAGAATAACATAAAAGCATTACATAATAAAAAGTTAACTATAGCTACATCATAATAGAAATTCATTGCATGACCTTCCAAGCATAATGTCAACTGGTTATATTAGAATTCTTAATATCATTTTTTTCAATTTCATGCTTCCCTAACTCATTCGCATCACAGTAATCCCCCAATTAATAGAATCAAGAACATAAACCCACGGACATAAATTGTTAAGCTTTTTCTAAATCTTCAACTATCCCTCTAATCAGAGATTAATAGTAGGTACAGTAAACTCTAAACAATAAAATAACTGTCTCCAACACAGTGAGAAGATTATAAACTAGAAATGATACAAACTGCTTGCACTAGAAGATTAAAAAATCAATAGAATTCTTGTGCATAAAATGTGAAGTAAACTGCTTATGCCTATTTACAAGGCAAGAAAATCAAAGGCTTCTCTTCACACAAGTCTTCAACTGGGATAGCAATTTTTGAAGGCACCAACTTGTAGTAGTATGCCTTATTGATTAGTCCATAGGATTAATCAGATCATAGGCACCAACATGAAGGTAGTGTTAGTGATTAGATGAAGTTGACATATTTTGATTGATTTTCAATCTGTTGAAGATTCATGAGTAGAAATACGCATCTTGATAGAACACATTGTAGGGAGAACCTAATTAATAATTAAAAGAAGAAAAAATTCAAGGAACCTAGATCATGAGTTCCAAAGATAGAATAGGCACAAAATCGAAAACCCAAACCACTAATATGATGAAAAATTAAATTTTTATTAGCTGCCTCGTGAACGAAAAAACTAAAATCTTAGCATGTATTCAGAAATTTAAACAATTACGAGAAGTAGTCACTGTCCACAACTTCTTTTTTTT